TAAAATCGATAAAAGTAATCGATAATCCCGAAAACCAATATTGTATTCGGAATCCTCATGCTCGATTACCCCCCTATGCGAACTCCCAGCCCCGTAGCTCAAACTTTGCAAAAAAATCGATAAAATCGATAAAAGTAATCGATAATCCTGAAAACCAATATTGTATTCGGAATCCCCATGCTCGATCCCCCTGTGCCAACTCCCAGCCCCGTAGCTCAAACTTTGCAAAAAAATCGATAAAATCGATAAAAGTAATCGATAATCCTGAAAACCAATATTGTATTCGGAATCCCCATGCTCGATTACCCCCCTGTGCCAACTCCCAGCCCCGTAGGTGAACTCAGCAAAAAAATCGATAAAAATCGATAAAATCGATATCGATCGATGACGAAAAGTAGCTTATGACACCCGCCGGGGCCCGTAGTGTATGTGTGCCAAGTTTGGTCCGGATCGGTTCAGAAATGGAATTTTCTATTCGGATATATTAGGCTGTCCCGAAAGTTTTGTCGGTTTCTTTCATCGATCACTGGAACTCACAGAACACCAATCCATGGCCAAGCTAGGTACCATTTGATTCAGATTTTTATCCTCTTTCATACAGCTATATTTTCTCTCTGATCTACCCCGTCTTTGCAATGTTATCGCCATGGCTTTTTGAGCAACTCACCAGTAACGCCAAATCTTCCTGAATTTTAAAATTTTTTATCCTGATGTTTTCAAAGAGCGCTGGCAACTATTATGTAGGGCAAACCTTTGGCTATATTTTGTTTATTTTAGATTACGTGGACCACGTTTACCAAGTCCGTTATAATTAATTATTTGATAAAAACCGCGACTTTTTGATTACGTTTACCACGTGGAAGTACTGAAAATTCCAAAAAGCTGCTTTTTCAAGGCAAATCAAACTTGGTCATGTTGCATAAATAATGTTCAATATGAATTATCTTTCAATTCGCTGGAACTTTGAAAACTTCCGTGTATTTGCTACATTTGCGTGTTTCATGACTTTGTCAAAAATCAAGACCTCTTAAGAAATAAATTTTTCAAGCTGAAAACAGCAGATTAGGAGAAACTAAAAACAGAACCTTGTAGTCCGCGAATTGCTCTATTAGAATCATACCTAACCTTTTTCAAAACTTTGAGATCAAAATTTTAAAAATTAGCCGAACTTTGAGCAGATAAAATTGGCGGATGGAGAGTTTTAACAGATATCGAAGAAAGCATACAAGATTGTGGCTCAAGAATGTATCCATAAGAAAGAGAAGAAAAAGCTGCATCGAATGCATTTTGAAACTCATTCAGATGTTTATTGTGTGTGGTTTTATGGTGGTTTGAAAAAACCGACAAAACTTTCGGGACAACCTAATATATAAGATACCATTCTTGTATTCTTACCCAAATTATGCAAATCTCCCGTCAAATTCAGATTCATAACAGGTACAACACACGCATCAAACTTTTGGCAATTAAATTGCTGGTTTGGTTTAAATTATGTACTTATATTGATATCTCTATATCCCCAATATTCAATAGAAATATAACTTCCATTTTTTACAGATTGCACGTATTTTTGACATGTTTTTGACTAATTTAGAAAACATATTCATTTCGATTATCAAAGGTTTGATGATGCTAGGTGTTCACCTGTTATGTTATAAATCTGACAGGAGATTTATGTAATTTGGGCAAGATGTAAGTGGTATATTGTCACTTTTTTGTGAAGGAGGCTTACCGTTTTACAAAAAAAATTGTCTTAGGTCGTCCCGAAAGTTTTGTCAATTTTTTCATACCACTATAAGACCACGCAGAATAAACATCTGAATGAGTTCATGCACTCGATGCAGCTTTTTCTTCTCTTTCTTATGGATACATTCTCGAGCCACAATCATGCATGCTTTTTTGATAATTGTCAAAATTCTCCACTCGTCAATTTTACCTGCTCAAAGTTAGGCTAATTTTTAAAAATTTTATTCCAAAGTTTCGAGAAGGGTTAAGTATGGATCAAATAGAGCAATTCTCGGACTACAAGGTAATATTTTTAGATTCTCCTAATCTGCTGTTTTTTAGCTTCAAAAATCTATTCTGCAAAAGTCTCGATTTTTGGCAAAGTCATGAAACACACAACTGCGGCAAATACACGGAAGTCTTCAAAATTTCTGCGAATTGAAAAATGTTTCTTATCAAACATTATTTATGCAACATGACCAAGTTTGATTTGCCTTGAGAAAGCAGCTTTTTGGAATTTTCGGTACTTTTACGTGGTAAACGTAATCAAAAAGTCGCGGTTTTTAAATAATTAATTATAACGGACTTGGTAAACGTGGCCTATGCAATATAAAATGAATAGAATGTAGCCAAAGGTTTGCTCTACATAACAGTTACCAGCGCTCTTTGAAATCATCAGGATAAAAATTTTCAAAATTCATGAAAGATTTTTACTGCTAAGCTGCTCGAAATGCCATGGCGATAACATTGCAAAGGCAAGGTAGATCAGAAAGCAAGTACAGCTGCAAGAAAGATTATGAAAATCTGAACCAATGGTACCTAGCTTGCCCGTGGATTGATGTTCTGTGAGTTTCAGTGATCGATGAAAAACCGACAAAACTTTCGGGACAACCTAATATCTGTTGATAATCATTGAGATTTCCCTTGCGGTAGAGATCAAAAGTTTCACCGTCAAAGTCAATGCTTTGTAAGTGCTCTGAATATCTGATACTAATGTCTTTGATTAGCACTTTATACAGTTTAATGCATACAGTGCAGTGTTTGTTGCTTACTTTATCTGTTGGACATATAATAAAATTATTTCAAAGATTTTTGAACTAAAGTCAAATTTACAAGCTATATCACCTTTCAATTTTTTCTCTATAAAAGTGAAGGCTCTAATTTATGTGAGACTCTTTTCTCCAAGTGATTTTTATGTTTGTGGTCTACCGATAGTCGTTAATTTGATATAAGTATCCATTATTATTTGTATACAGGGTGTCCCAAAAGTATGTATGCACTGTTTGATCGTTAATATCTCTCTTCCCAAGAAGTCTTTTACCTTGCTCCAGGTACCGTTTTGTAGGGCTGGCTTCAACTTAGATTTGCATTATAGAACGAATCGTCCATCTCTCTTCATTACTGTGGGATTACGGTAGAAACTTGAAACATATGGTGTCAATGTGGAAAAAGCTGCCGTTTCAAAAATTTTCAAAAAACTGTGAAAACTTGTGTAATAGGGTTATTATGGACGCTGAATTTAATAGTCAACTATTCACAAGATTGCGAAGCTTTCTAGACGGTGTAACCGCACTTTTTATGAACATTGAAAAAATGGCCGCTACTTCTTACCCGGCATAACTCTTCAATGAAGCATCATAATAAGTTGGAAACTTTACAGTTAGAGTCAACCCCAATTAGCCGAGTGTGAAAGCTTTCAGGCTGTTTTGTTCCCTTTCTGAGGCAAAATATGGTCTTTCATTGCTCAAAACCCTCTTTGAAGTTTCTACCGTATACAGCAGTGAAGAGAGATGGATGCTTCGTTCCATAATGCAAATCTAAGTTGAAGCCAGCTCTACAAAATCGTACCTGAAGCAAGGCAAAAGACTTCTTGGGAAGAGAGATATTGACGATGAAACAGTGCATACATACTTTTGGGACACCCTGTATATTGTGTATCCAGTTTATGTCTTCTTTTTCATTAGTATCGTTTGGCATTCTTATTTTGTGCAATTATATTTACAATAGCGATAATGTTGGATTATTTGGAAAGAGTAACGCTCATTTGTTTCCCGTACTGCATTGGGTCCGGCGTGTACCAGATACCTCAAGCTTTGTAACCATGGTCAAGCAAGGGGTGTGGCACACGATCGCTGGTTACGACCCCCCCCCCTCCTGATTGCTGTCCCAATAAGACCCCTCCCCTGAACTATACACTTAAGATAGCATTACTTGAAGGCCCTGTCAAACATAATGGGCAACATATTCATAATTAGCATGTCAAATAACCCCTGTAAACAAAGTGTGAGCGAATTCTGAAGATTCAGCATACTAGGCTACCTAAGTGAAATGGTCAAATTTCAACATGGTTAACTTTGTTTCAAAGGTGAATTAGCTACCCTTTTTTGCACTCACGACAAAGCACTACTCCTTCTTTGTCCACCTCAGGAATCCCGTTTCAAATGGCCTCCAAACTGTGGAATTAGAAGCCGCAGCTTTTAAGGGGGTGAGCCGCATCCCATTAACTATATCAAAAAACCATTTTTAGCGAGCAGTATTCATATGATTCGATAGCATAAACCTTGTAGATTCCATAGGACTGTTTTGAGCCTGATTCGTCTTCTTAGCTCTAAATAATATTTGGTGAAAGCACAGCGATCAAAAGCGAAAAATGGGAAAAACGAGATTTTGGTTGGCTTCTAATTCCACAGTTTGGAGGTCTTCTGAAGCGGGATTCCTGAGGTGGACAAAGAAGGAGTAGTGCTTTGTCGTGAGTGCAAAAAAGGGTAGCTAATTCATCTCTGAAACAAAGTTAACCATGTTGCAATTTGACCATTTCACTTAGGTAGCCTGGTATCTTGAATATTCAGAATTCGCTCACACTTGGTCTACAGGGGTTATTTGACATGCTAAATATGGATAGGATACGAATATCATGCTATCACTATTACCAGATTACCCAACTACGACCCCCTCCCCTTTTGACTCCTCAATACGACCCCCAGGTGTGGCATGCCGCACCCCACGCTTGACCCTGTTTGTAACTGTAACTTTACAGAAAGAACTTTCATGAAAAGTTGCATTTTTGAAAAGAGAGCTTTTTCTGTGGCGTTGGTATAAGTATGAACGCTGAAAAGGAAGGTGCAAAATTCGTTCCGGAGGTCAACATCGATTCCCTTCTCTTTCTGCGTTTACCGTTTTCGGCAATGTGTCTTCGGGAATCACCAATGTTTTGGGTTTCTTCCAAAAAGTGCCGAATCACACAAAGGTGTTCCGTGATAATTGCACTAGCAAAATGTACTCTCCAAATGTTTTTATTTTGGAATCACGGACAGTTTAAAAATTTTGAGGGCGTGCGACAGACAAAAATCTAACAGCTATCACATAACAACAACATTGACGGATATCAAGATATTGAGAAAGGATACAAACAAATTTATACAGCAGTTTCACAGGAAAAGTGATTACAAGCGTCAAAATCGAAAACAATTCCATTAAAAGTGAGATGCGCAACAACACAAGTTAGAGTTACTCGAACTGCAACAGAATTTAATAGCCTTTATTGTTCTGTAATGCGCGTAATGAATTCGCCACATACTGCAGCTTCCTCTTCGTGTCACCCTCGGGAAAATTCAGGAGATCAAAGTATTGTGGCGCAATCGTCAACAACCTAAACTACTTCGGTTTTCAAGATATAAGCGATTCGGATTGAAGATTGCTAGAGGAGAATGTCCTACCATTCTGGACGCACATCAGTAACTGTTCTTATGAAATTCTTCGTGGTCAACACGAACTCATTATATAGTGCCCACTCAGGTTTGTGATCCAGTACAGTGGACGGGTGAAGATTGACAAGCTGGTTATCCTTTACAGTAATGTAATGTCCACTCCTTTGAAGATGTGCCACCTATGATAGCAACTAAGTGGATGGAATGGAAATGAGGAACAAACCTGCATGAAAAATCCAGCAACCAGAGCCTTACGTATATTTATGTAATAATCTTTGGATTTGAAATCCGTTGAAACTCGTCTCAGATTGAACTGAAGTGTATGTGTTTTCACGATTGCAATTGATGCAAACTGCGCTATTACCTTGTCCATAATCTTGCCTAGTTGGGTCCTCACTGTATCCGCAGTTTTGAGAGTGCGATAATTGATAAAATTGTCGTAGCACCATTGCACATCTTCATTATCTAAGAAGAATAAAATGATCAAATGCTAGTATCTTGATTCCGATGCAGTTAGATACAAGTCAATTGTGAACAAAAAAAAAAGCAAGACTGCCCTGATCTGAAAAACGAAGAAAGCATACTTTGTTTGAATGCATGGTAGACATTCAGTAGCGTAAGATGATCACCATCGACGTGCGCAAATCGTGCCTTCGCTTCATCTGCCTCCTTTTTCATTTCATTTGGTCGGACAAAACACTGAGGGACTGCAATTCCCTGATTAGTCCGCAGTATTTTAGTTCACTGACTTGCTTACCGGATAACATCGCAGTTATCGACAATATCTCATTGGAACAATTCAACTCGGTTGACGTAATTAGCATTTTCGCTTCAAACATTGCAGATTAAACTCTCACTTAAGTTCAAAAGAACCTCACCCAATTGCGGATCTAGAGGGAATTCCGCCATCAGAGAACCCAACTCTGTCAATTCACCATCATCGTTTATAGCGGCCAGATAATTGAGTAATTCCAGAGCTCTCATAAGGGTCTCTGGGGCTGGAGGATCCATGAAATCAAAATGTACGAGATCTTCAATGCCTAGCTTCTTCAACTGCAAAACCACCGATCCCAGATTTGAACTGGAATACAATGAGTTGAGAGGAACACGTGTACAAGTAATTGAAAGAGGTCACCGAAGTATCTCCGGGTAAGTCTGCTCTTGCATTTCTTCCTGATAAGCTTTCTCTGTATATAACCGGAAACACTTTCCTAAAATGCAAAGTTTCCCAATGTAAGAACAATTAGAACCGAAAAGCTAACCAGGCTTAGTACGACCAGCGCGACCAGCACGTTGCATAGCACTAGCTTTTGATATCGGACATACTAATAGTGATTCAACACGAATTCTCGGATTATAGACTTTTTGTTTCGAAAATCCAGGATCTATCACAAAAACCACTCCGTCGATAGTCAACGATGTCTCAGCAATGTTTGTGGAAACCACACACTTTCTCCCTAAAACGATATATCTTAGCAAATGCGAATGTAACATGAAAGCACATTGGAACACATACCACTGCACAAATCTTTCCAAGGGCAATAGCAGAAACTAAAAAACATTTCAAGATTACCTATAGCGCCAGGTCTACTGGGTGGTGCAGGTTCGAATATCCTTTGTTGTTGATTAGGTGGAAGCGTGGAGTAGAGCGGGATACAATTCAAGGTGCCAACCTGCGGTCCCAGATTGTCTACTTCGCGTTTTATTCGCTTACATGCTTCCTCAATTTCCTACAAACAAGAACACAACGACTAAATACAAACAAAGAAGAAACAACAACTGAACCTCCTGGCCAGTCAAAAATAACAAGATATCTCCTTCAGTCTCTTCACACACATGAATTTGGATAACAGTTCGAATAGCAGCTTCAAGATAGTCTTTTTCAGGTTCTGGGGTGAACTGAAAGTTGATGTATAAGTGCAGGGCGAGAGCTCTAATGAAAGGACTTACAAAGATTTCCACAGGAAAAGTTCGTCCTGGAACGGACATAAGGGGGCAGTTCTCAAAATAATTTTGGAATTTTCCAGCATCCAGTGTAGCAGACATGATGACTATCTTTATGTCAGAGCGCTGTTTGACAATTTCCTAAACGAATATAGCAATAGTAAATGATGAAAAAGACTACACATCATACTTTGATCAATCCCATCAGTATATCGGTAGCCAACGTCCTTTCATGAGCTTCGTCAAGAATGATAACACCATATCCATCCAAAAGTGGGCAATTCATCGCTTCGCGTAGCAACATTCCTTGAAGTATAAAATTGGAGATGGAGACAATTACCACTTTCATATAAAAGACAGAGATAAAAGTAGTTCCGATATCTCAGTCACAGCCCCAAAGAAATTTCCAAAACTTTTTTTTCTGCGCTCAGGGTTGTGATATTTTACTACGCAGCCTGATGTGCTGCTCGCACAGACTGCGCAAAATTGAAAGATTCGCACAAAGGCTAACCCTTTTGAAATAACATGACTGTTACGGCAGAAAACTTTCTCGAGTTTCCCTGAGAATAATATGGCCGACAAAACAACGATGAGGCTAAAAAGTAGGGAAATTTCAATAAGGCCAAGCTGGAGTGGCGTAAAACAAGACGAGAAAGATGTGAACCCCTCAGTAACAATGCTCCCAAATTTGTGCAAAAATTTCAATGTCAACTTGTGAATGAACTTACGCGAACGTTCAAAAAAACATACCATCGGTACAATATTTCAGAATAGTTTGCGCACTGACGCAGTCTTCGAAACGAATAGAATATCCGACTTCCTGTCCCAACTTGAAAAAAACTAATCGATAATAAGCGAGAAGATTCCGTTGCGAAAAAATCCACCCAGCTTACCGCACAAACAAAAAACTTCAAGGGAAGATGTAATAAAGTTTACCCACCTGTACATCCATCTCATCTGCAACCCTAGCTGCAACTGACATAGCTGCCACCCTTCTCGGCTGAGTGCAAGCTACGAGTCGCCTTTGACCAGGAATAGCTCTCTGTCGGACATATTCTACACACCACTGCGGAATTTGCGTCGTTTTTCCTGACCCTGTCTCTCCCACCAAAGTCATACCTGAACGATGCAAACTACGTATCACTATCAACAAGAGATAAATAAACGTATACATTGATTATTATGTAGAATTTCCATAAACTTGTCTTTATAATCCCAAACTGGTAGCTGACGTCGTTTCTCCCAGATCTGCCAGTACTTCTTACTGTACGGAAGTCTGGTGAACGGATTTGTCTTCATCTAAATCATAACCATAACACCAACTCGTCTAGGATAAAGCACATTGAATGCTATATAATCTGGTAGTGATCAAGAAAATGCATCATTACAGATCAATGAACTATGTACTAGATAGGAGCACGGCATATGCATCTAGCATCCTAGGTGTCATATTGCCTGGGGAGGGGGGAGAGAAAGACAACTTAAGAAAATTTGGTTTTTATCATCGCGTCCCGTTGACGCGGAGGGTAAGGGATCGTTCATACCGCGCACAAAGGCGCACAAAGGCGCACGAAGGCGCACGAAGGAGCACAAAGGCGCACGATGGCGCGTCTCGTCTCCTTTATCTCGACACACACACTCACACACGCCTTCGTGCGCCTTTATGCGCCTTTGTGCGCTGTCTGAACGATCCCTAAGGGGGGGTGGGATCATAACGTGCCATATCAATGACAACAAAAGAAAAAAAGAGTAAGAACTATTGAAAATCCACAACACTAGGTAGACGCAGAATATTCTTATCTGAATCAGAGACATAGATGTGTTTCAATTCTTCCAATACTAATAAGTATATGATAGACAGCCTAACATTGATATATAAGTTGAATAAATGCAATGCGCGCTTGCCTTTACATCTGCAGCAGCATTGTTATTCTGAACAGTAGGAGAGGAATTTGACCGATCATGATCCTTCTTTATCGGAGATCGAGAACGTGAGCGAGAACTGCAAATGTCAAGAAGGCTAGGAGAAATCAAAAAAAAAATTTGAATCACATTTCAACTGACCGACGAGATTTCCTATCCCTATCGCGATCTCTTTCTCTATCCCGGTCTCTTTTACGATCGTCATCCAAGTCGATTCGATGCCTCGAGGACATTTCTGAATGGGTAAGGCATAACAAACGGATAGACGGACAATAAATGCAAGTGTACATTGCGTTTATTGAACTTCTGTTACACATTACATGTAACGGACACATAACCAAGATAAGATGGATGGATATAGTAGAGATCATATGCAAATCACTAAAAATTCACAAGAGCAATTAAGTATGATGTGCTGGTGAGATTACACCATGGAAGGAGCAACTTGATGAACTATAGTGCTAACTCTTATTGTGTCAAAGTGGAAACCAAAGCCAACTGCGAGTAGCTTGTTCCCATACTTCTGCTTTCACACCAGCATACTGTATTGGTCGTTTGAGATACAAATTATGATGACACCGAAACAGTATGGAAAAACTGCGTTACGATACGCAGGAAGCAGGAACGCCACGACCATTTATGCTTGCGAAAGAAACAATGCAGGAATCGATGTTTCAAATCTCTTGGATCTTTGCGGATGGGCGAACTCACCTGACGTACCGTTGAAAAAACTGCCATAGAGTTATAGCTGAATTTTACCTCCACTTCTTACCCTACATTATAATCTTTGCCAGCCAATAACTTTCATGAGATCTGAATTCTGGGGTGCCTATGGCAGAACAGCACTCGCGTCGCCATTTGCAAAACAAAACGAAGATCTTTAAAAAAGGAACAGGAGTACCAAAAATCCTAGAGAATGAAAGTAAAAAGGTAAGTAGTGAACTGAAGCAGACACAACAAACAAAAAAAAGCAAGTTCTGGCGATTCGCAAATGGAGCAATTTCAAACGAAAATAACCTTCAATAAGTCCGGTCTTGCAGCGATTGCCTTCCTGCAGTGTCAGTTTGAGCGAATTCTGACGGTTCTTCCAAGCTCACTCAGAAAAAGTTATTTTTTGCTCTAAGTGTTTTTATCTCATGCAGAGTAAAAAAATTCGAGGCATGCAGCAAAGCGTTGCATAAGTTTATTGTGTTTTTAGCAGAAGTATGCTAATAACCGGCACACTTTTTTTTAGAAAACTGGGCGGAAGACGATGGCGTTACGTTCCGTTGTCACAGCACCTCTAAAACGATGCGTCGCTTACCAGGTTATCGTACTTTTTGTTTATACTTTCTCCCTTTGCTCAGTTAAAGAAGCCATATATCAACAACTCAACTCTGAGGCATCTCTGACGATGGGTGAACTTTGAGGTTTCAGTATACACTTTCATTATTTCATATGCGGTTCTAAATCTATAAAGTTCAAGAATGCAACTTTTTTCATTTACAGTTCAATTTTCCGCTCAATATGGTGTGCTCGGCCAAGAAAATGCAGTAAAATTTGCGCGTGTAGAAGAAGCTAGGCCAGTGGTGTTATGCACATATAAGAGGTTGACATTACAGACATAGTTGTTTTTTAGCGCGCAAGTTTTATTCGCATTTCCTCGTCACCGCAGGCGCACTGTATTCGAAGATTTTGTAAAGTTGGTTACTGAAAAGTTAAGTCAGACCATCTTCCTGTGTAATTCGCCATGGAATGATAGGAAAAGCTTTTTTGGCTTCTTCTTGCATCGTTATAATTTTCATTTAGATTCGCAACTTTGGTGCACTGTCTATCAAAGAAGTGTTAGGTGCGCATCCTCCTGCCGAAGTTAGCACTCTAAAAAATGGCCTTCGCATAGCAGCTGAAGACAATGGTAAACCTACAGCCACGGTACATAATTCATACATCCTTGATTTCCTTTCCACAATCTATTGAGTATTTCTAATTTCCTCGCTAGCGCCAGTATGCAAATTGCTGTTGTAAACTTCCTCCCCAATTCTTCTTCATCATTCTTTGCAGATATAGCGTAGGCTTTCGCAAATGTGTATCATAAGTCCGGATTTTGCCACTTGTTGTGACAGTCAAGCCATCAGAAGCATGGTCTGAGGTTACAGAATTTCTGGGATTTTGTGAGTGGGAGGTGTCATATGGGTAGTGAGATCTGAAACTAACGATAAGAACTTCATTTTTATATCGTATCGCCGTGCCATTATAAGAAAATTTATTTCTTACTAGATGGCAAACCCGGCTCCGCCCGGGGCCAAACTTTGCACACGTACACTTCGGGGCAGGGAGCGTGTCATAGTCCACTTTTCGTTATCGATCGATAACGAAAAGTAGCCTATGACACGCTCCCTGCCCCGAAGTATATGTGTGCCAAGTTTGGTCCCGATCTCAGAAATAAAAATTTCTATTCCGCACATACGTACAGACAGACAGACATACATACAGACAGACATTCAGCTTTATATATAAGATATCAAGAAAATCAGTCTTATCGAGTAACATCTACAAGTAGTAGTTTTGTGTGTCTAGCTAACTCACACTCTTGTTTAGCAACATTGAAAGCTTTCTATGGGATAAATAAATTCTGCCTTTTCAGTCAGACAACGGAAAGTCCGCGCTTTATTTCCGTCTCCCTGTTTTTACGGATGACTTATTGAATGTGTGCTTAGGTATAGGGGCCTGCAGGATCGCGAGAGTCGGACGTGCGTACGGCCATTGCGCCGCGCACGTCAGATGCGCGTCCGATGACTCAGGTAGGTGCCAGACTTATCCTGTTCAACAGGTTCATTCGGTTCACCACCTTTTCTATGGACAATGCAGTGATTTGACCCATGAGCCGAACGAACCGGTTGAAGCGGATGAATCTGGCACCTGCCCTAGTGACATCAGACGTGCGCGGCGCAATGGCCGTACGCACGTCCGACTCTCGCGATCCTGCAGGCCCCTATAGACAATAATCGGTGTGCTTAGGTATTCTGCGCTACAAAAGCGACCATAGGTTTATGCAATGGGTTAACCATGTTTATGGGCCCCTAGGACCGTTTTCTTTAGAAGCTCTGGGGTTTCTACCTTCCCTATACATTAGAAAAGAATTTAGGTGGGTGTATGGATCGAAACTGGATCTCGATACGAAAATGATGAGCACAACGGAGTCACTCATTTTCTTGAGCGGCTTATGCATAAGGTATTCTTTGCAGTTGTAGACCTCATATTCCTTAGCTTTATTCAGGGAACAGGAAAGCGTGCTTCAGGCGCACTAATAAACGAACTGGAAGCAATTGGTGCCAAGTTAAAATCTTATACCAGTCGCGACTGCACTGCTGTTTACGTCCAGTCAGCATCCGAAGATGTAGAGCGAGGTGTGTTTTTTGCTCACATGAAAGCTTCATATCTCTTCTAGCTTTATTTGCAACATTATGTGCAGTTACGCTAGCTAAGCGATGATTACGGTATATAATGTATTAAACGGACCGTCCACCCAAGTTGAAAGTGTTGAGCTTTTGGCAGCATACAAATAGTCGGGCCTCTTATCAATCCAATGCCCAAGTCGCGGCGCAAAATGCCGCTTCGGGATAGCGAAGATGAACGAGGACCCCCATCCATGCCCGCCCATTTGTGCGCGACCATCCAATCACTGTTCCGGAAAGCCGGTTTGTGGGTTTTCCAGAACGGGATTGTCGGGGTTTTCGCGCATTCTCGACTTCATAACCGGATTTAGGGACATGAGAGGACCCTGAAACGACAAAAACGTGGAAGTCGAAAATCTGGGTGGATGGTGCCTTCAATGTGGTAGCTGAATGGCCGTAAGACCTAGCCAAGCCCATCCCGCAGATAGAAGTAGTTCCATACAGATAGACATAAAAACACGCATCACTTATCTTTCGAAATAACACGAACTTATATGTAAATGACTTAGTTGTTGATAGGATTTAAAAAAAGCGGGATTCCATGCTAGTTTCTCGATTACTCTACTTCGCAGATTGAGCAACATCTTTGATCTCAGAATTTTGGGAGGTAATTTTTCATAATAACCGGTGAGCTGAAACACAGTCCTCGAAGTTTTCCTATTATTAAGATTGCATAAGGTTGACACCAATCGATATCCCGAAATGTCTTAGTGGTCGACATCCTCGCTGATGTGTTACGGAATAGCAAAATTGACCCCTCGGTGGTGGAAGCTGAAAGAGGAAAAATGCTTGCTGAGTTGGAAGATTCCGAGTCTGATCTTCAAAGAGTCACTATGGACAATCTTCACACTGCAGCATTTCAGGTAAAAATTCTTATATATGTCGTGTCGTTTGTAGAAGTTTAATCATTTCAGGGCACTTCACTAGCAAAGAGTCCTTTGGGAACCAGCACTTCACTGCAGGTAAAAGCTATTTCTCCTGTAATGCTCTATCTATACGCGACCAACTCTGTTTAGAATCTCACAGCAAAAAATATCAAGGAATGGCAAGAGGATACATATCGACCGATCAGAATGGTAATTTCGGCTGTTGGAGGTGGATGTTCGGCTTCTAAAATTGAAAGCCTTGCCGATAAGCATTTTGGCGATTTGAGTCCCGAGTATCCAAGGAGGGTGCCCCAGGTATAACGAAAATTCTGTGAAATGCTTTGCCATTCATGTCGACATCAGGCTGGAGGGATTCGTTTCACCGGATGCGAATACAGGTACCGCAACGACTACATCCCTCACATGCATACAGCCGTAGCGGTCGAGGTTGGTCTCATTTTGTTCCCAGTGGTTTAATATCGAATAATGCCGCCAAAAACGACTCTTTTGTTCTTTAAAATGTGTGTGCGAGAAGACCTTTAGTTTCTAGTGGCGTTCATCGGCGACATTTGTTATTCCTGTCCGATGCAACACATTGGATAGAAGAGTGGATGCAACTGCTCATTTGGAGCACCTGCGATGTTGATAGCCCTGCGCTTGAACAAACTTCCATGTTTGTAATATAACAGTGTGCGGGCAACGGCGATAGTGTTCTTCCAAGTTTTGCGCCCTATGGCCATCTGCTCACGAGCAAGTAATGTCAGAAGCATAGAGGCACTTTACCATGAAAATCATTAACTAATCATTGGCTCCTAGATTCGTGTAGAAGCGGAGTCGTGCCTTTCCTTGAATCTTTATTTACCCTTGTGTACTTTGAGCCAGCGCATTCGCATTACCTTGAAGTGAATTTTACCCTGAGGTATTTTCGTGAATACGGTTGAATGGCTCAAGCTGCGTTACATACCTTGAGATATAAGCAGCTGATGTATCTTGTGTATACGGGTATGCGCTTTCAGGGTATATGTCAAAGGTATGCTAAGGTACGGCCATTGGACACAAATTCGGTTGCAGCCATCCCCTTATAGCAAAGTAAAAATCACTGGAGAAAAACCCACACAATTGCTCCAAAAGGAGGTCAATCATCGAGTTGGGATTGGTATTTGAAACTTACAGTTTGTATCCTTCTGTGGTCAGACAACTTTTTTGTAGGATTCGGAAAAATGTTGAAAAACGATGCTTACCGAAGAACATTTGCATTTGCAGGGTGTTTGTTATGGACATAGAGACGCCCTCGCTTTACAGATGGCCAGTCAGTTTATAGGTAATTCAGTTATTAATTTTGAACGAAATGTCGCTTTGCATCGAGGAACATCGCTGAATCACCATCACAGTGTTCGTTCTGCGTGTCATTTTGGATACTTAAACAAAACTTTTTAGGACAGTGGGATGTTACTCATGCTACAACCCGTACCGCTCCGTCCCGATGGATTCAGAAAATCTCACACGATCATGGGCTGCATTACCTCCAGCATTTTAACATTAATTACAAGCATGTGATTTTTTTTTTCGCTGGTGAACCGTTCTCTTTGATGTCTATTTAAGGGACACTGGCCTGTTTGGTGTGTATTTCGTTAGCAATGGCGATGACATAGTCAACTCACAAGGAATTCTCAAAAGCATTCAGCATGAGTGGAAGGTTGACGTTTTGATATTCTTTTTACTACGCTCCCTAAGTGGGCTCACGCAACAAACTCGCACATGGCAGATGTGTTTAAGCTAGAGTTGTTTTCATATATAGGTAGGCGCCAGACTAACCGACTGCCTGCTTCAGCAGGACGCGGCGCAATTACTGCCATTTGATCTCACGTTGTAGGGAAATCAAGTCGGCGTGCGCGATTTCGCTAGAACATTAATTTTTCACTGGTAAGGCCTTACTATCATTCTCTTATTCTGCGATATTTTTTCATCATCTCCAAAACTACTGTTGTTGCGGGCATCGGAGACGCCATCGAATCTGTAAATCAACATGACGCCAAATGACATAAGCTTACTATAGTTGTACAGCAACCTGCTGAAGCAGACAATCGGTTAGTCTGGCGCCTACCATAGACTGTAGTTAGAGGTTGTGAAAAAGTCAAGCGTAAATGCATTAGTGTTGGTCAATGCTTTTCAAAAAAAATTGTTTTTAACATTTTTGAGTAAGTAAGATAAATAAGTCCAAAATTGATAAAAATACCTTCGGAGGGCCCTCATTCTCCTCTCCTATAAACTCTCAGCGTCTGGTCCAGTGTTTTCAAAAGGTGGCGCATGATGGTGTTAAACTTGCAGGAGCTGTAGTTGTTTGGTTATCACTTTCTATCATGTTGGAAAGTATGGGTATGAATAAAGCGTGATTTCGATCTGGATCTTGCAGCTCTTTTATCATATCCTTCAGAATCTTCTTTTTAGCATCTGGCGGGAGCTATCTCTGAGGAGGAAACTACTTTGGCCCGCAATCAGCTAAGAACCACTCTTTACCAGCAGCTGGAGTCGAATACTGAGAAAGCAGAGTTTAATGCGAAAGAGGTAATGGCTCATCCACATGTTTCCAAGTGAGTGTTGTGTGAATAGGGACCTCTGTTTCAGCTCCTATACACTGGATCCATACGATCTCTAGCTGAACTTGAGAATCAAATCGCAGACATTGACCAATATACTTTGAGAAACGCTGTCTTCAATCATGTCTACGATCGAGACACTGCCAATGCTGGAGTCGGTGAGAATCGCATATATTTCAAGTTTTCACATGGATCACACTTCTTGTGTATCGTGTAAGACACACAGAGACCGAGCTTCTGGTGCACCCAATTCTATTGAGGCTGCCTGTATCATGAAGCGATGTGAGTAGGGTCCAGCTTCTCGTAATGAGATTGCTAATAACAAATCTGTGCTAATGTAGGTCTCTAATTCCTCTTACCGCTCTAAATTTTCACTCTTTGCTATCACGGTCTTTTTGGCGTATGATTTGCCAAGAAGTGGGATTACAGTTCGAATGTCGCACATAGCGTTTTTGCTAATATCAATTTGATTACATTTTTGCTGATGTCAGTTTACAACAGCATGCTGTTTCAGCTAGCTCCAACGTGAAGGCATTTTGAAGACGCATATTCAGGCATACTTATCGTAAGACCACTGAGTTTTCTGTGCTTGAAGTCAGATTCAAAACTCTAAGTTAAACTTTGGTGAATAGCTATTTTGCTCACGTACTCAAGGAGGTAGTCTAGGAAAATGTACGGAACAGATTATAGACTACTAAACCCACGCGCCTCTTTTGTTATCGTAGTAACTCAAAGGCAGTGTTTTCTAACTTTTCGCGCACCTGGGTACATCCGCTACGTTCTGTCAAAAAACCCATCTTACAATAGAAAGCGTGAAAACGGCGAGAACAGGCGTTTCGCAAAGCCCTTCGAATTGAAGTCGGAAGTTGTCCTGCCCACGCTGACGAGGGAAGGATACTTAAAGGCTACTGCATGACGAAGGCGCAATGTCGATATTAGTTGAACGGGCGCGATCGCGACGCGCGCGTATCCTCACCGTTGTAGATTCCGCAACTCCGCTCTGCGGCTAATAAAGCCGCGTTCGCGCCCGAGAATATTGCGCCTTCGTCATGCAGCAGCCTATACACTTAGGGCCGCATGCACTAACATCCCCGCGGGGAGGGGATCGCAGCTTAAAAGAAAGTTTTATATTTCGAAACCCCAGATACCTGGATTTCACGTTGTGTACCTATCCGTAAGTGTTCCTACTACCCTTCACTATGAACATGTTGAATAGGAGCGAGAAGATGTACGGACCGCATTTTTCACTTTTTGTATGATTCCTGATGATCCCCGGCGCTTTTCTTTAAAGGCAGTGTCCGGGCAAAAACTCGATTTTGAGATTTTGTGCTTATATGGGCCTATTCGCCATGCTGAATCCGAAAATCCACATTGGGAAGCGCGAAAACGGCGAAAAAGGGCTCTAATATAGGAAGGAAATCCGCAGGTGGGCGGGGCTTTCCCCAGTGCGATTTCACGCTCCCAGCTCCCGGAGCGATTTTCTCGATTCCGCTAGCCGTTCTAACATCGCTACCGGCCAAGTGCGAATGATTGACTTGAAACCGGAAGCGAGAAGGTCGCTCCGGAAGCCGGGAACGTGAATTCGCAGCGGGGAGGACCCCGCCCACCTGCTCATTTCCCTCCTGTGTTAGAGCCGTTTTTCGCCATTTTCGCGCTCTACAATGTGCATTTTCGGATTCAGCGTAGCGAACAGGCGTAAGCACAAAATCTCAAAATCGAGTTTTTGCCCGGACACTGCCTTTAAAGGCAGTGTCCGGGCAAAAAGTCGATTTTGAGATTATGTGCTTACCCGGGCCTATTCGCTACGCTGAGTACGGAAGTCACACTGGAGAGCGCAAAAACGGCGAAAAAAGCCCTAACAGAGGAGGGAAGTCAGCAGGTGGGCGGGGTCCTCCCCACTGTGAATTCACGCTTCCAGCTTACTGAGCGACCTTCCCGGTTGCGCGCTCAATTCAGTTGTTCAAGCTTGCTCGGTGGGGATGTTAGAATGGGTAGCGGAATCAAGAAGATCGCTCCGTAAGCTGGAAGCGTGAATTCACAGTGGGTAGGACCCCGCCCATCTGCTGAATTCCCTCCTCTGTTAGAGCCCTTTTTCGCAATTTTCGCGCTCCCCAGTGTGGATTTTCGGATTCAGCATAGCGAATAGGCCCGGGTAAGCACAAAATCTCAAAATCGAGTTTTTGCCCGGACACTGCCTTTAAAGTCATTTTTCTTTCTCCGAGGTTAACGAAGACCTTCCAAAGTTGTAGTGAACATCTAACACAACAGTGCTAAGCATGTTTAAGAACAAATGATGTTTTGAAGTCATGGAATTTTCAGTGGTCCACAGGTCGAAATTTGAGGTTTGCCGAAAAATTCGACTTTTCAAAAATTCATTTGTTCTCATGAGCAACATGCTTAGCACTGTTGTGTTAGATGTTCAGTACAACTTTGGAAGCTTTTCGTTAATCCATACCTTCGATAGTCTAGAGAGAGGCCCTTAAAAGTGAAGTTTGTTTGAATATCTGCCCTTTATGAATAGGGGAGGTAGTTTGTAGAAAAGCAGGGAAGAAAAAAGATGCAAAACTGTCAGCAAGCGCAAAAGAAACTCAAACCGGATAAAAACGCTGCAGTGAGTTTCAAATCTTTCACTTGGCGGCATTTCGAATTACAGGTTTTTGCATCAGGACCAGGCAATCCACAACACCGGAGAAACGAGCAAAAGCTAATTTTTTTCTTTGTGTTTGTTTCAAAAGGAGCAACCACTTTTTGAAAGCCATGATCATCAAGAAGAAGATAAACAAGGAATGAATTAGTTTTGAAAACGCAAAATTTAGTTTTTACCAAGTCGATATGCACAAACCAGCCTAGTTTTTGATGCGTCCTTCAAATTCATACCCCGCATTGTCGTTCCTGCTTCCTGTGAAGTTGTCTGGATTATTGCGCTCATCATGCTGAATAATCGCTTAAATTGGAAGAAATCGCAGCGAAAACACTGAACAAGAACAAGGTGAAGAATAACGCATTTTTTGGGATTTTTTGCAAGAAAATCCGCCGTAGTCGAAAAAGTAAGCTCTGCGAGGTCGTCTACTCTAGGTTTTTGCCAGATTTCTCATTATTCAAAAAAATGAGGTTTTGTGACGTTGCTAGTGAAAGTAGAGGTCAGGAGCTTTAATAAGATATATAGTTTGCTAGAATTGAATACAGAAAACGAAAGAAAGAGTACGAGCCAAATGCCCCTGCACCGCATTTGGGGTAGCGAGAAGCGCGCAACGCGCGGATATGCAGACGAGCAGAGGAGAAAGACCAGAGCCGCGGGGCATTTGGCTCTCGTCGTAGATCTCTGCGGGGTCTCAACCAAAACCCTGCAATAATATTATATATATCATCCTGATCGTCACGACACGACTAGAATCAATGACAATGTCGCAAGCGTTAGAAATCACTAAACGAGATAAACCAGCATTCGTGCGCGTCTTCTCTGCACAAGAAAGCGCACTCTCTCTTTTCTAACTCCAACGAGGTTCTTGAACTTCTGAAGCTCAACCGTATCCTAGAAAGAGGTTATAAGAGAAAATTTGTTTTGATTTAGTGAAATTTTTATACAAAAACTCTCCTTTGACGTAGAAAAGACTACAAAAGCACAGTTTTTGGTCTTGATGTGACATTGTAAGAATACTATTCCATATGCTTGCTACATTCACATTCATTTCGACTTGATTAAGATCCTTAACACCTGTTTTTTTTTCTGTGGTGAAATCGTATTGATTCATGGGCGCTGAAAGTGACGGTCACCAGAGTAATGGCTCCATGTATCGAGGGCATGACACTATCTTATAGAGCACTAGCTGGCTTACCCGGCTCCGCCGTATCCGGACCAAACTTGGCACACATACACTTCGGGCCCCGGCGGGTGTCACAGTCCACTTTTCGTTATCGATCGATGTCGATTTTACCGATTTTTATCCATTTTTTTGCAGAGTTCACCTACAGGGCTAGGAGTTGGCACAGGGGGGAAGTGAGCATGGGGATTCCGAATACAATATTAGTTTTCAGAATTATCGATTACTTTTATTGATTTTATCGATTTTTTGTAAATTTTGACATGCGAGGCTGGGATTTTGCACAGGGGGGTAATCGAGCATGCTGATTACGAACACAATATTAGTTTTCAGGATCGTCCATTACTTTTATCGATTTTATCGATTTTTTTTGTAAAGTTTGACCTGCGGGGCTGGGAGTTTGCACAGGGGGTAATCGAGCATGCAGATTACGAATACAATATTAGTTTTCAAGATCGTCCATTACTTTTATTGATTTTATCGATTTTTTGTAAATTTTGACCTGCGGGGCTGGGAGTTTGCACAGGGGGTAATCGAGCATGCGGATTACGAATACAATATTAGTTTTCAAGATCGTCCATTACTTTTATTGATTTTATCGATTTTTTGTAAATTTTGACATGCGAGGCTGGGATTTTGCACAGGGGGGTAATCGAGCATGCTGATTACGAACACAATATTAGTTTTCAGGATCGTCCATTACTTTTATCGATTTTATCGATTTTTTTTGTAAAGTTTGACCTGCGGGGCTGGGAGTTTGCACAGGGGTGTAATCGAGCATGCTGATCACCCCCCTTGGGGATGATCAGCATGCTCGATTACCCCCCTGTGCCAACTCCCAGCCCCCTAGCTCAAACTTTGCAAAAAAATCGATAAAATCGATAAAAGTAATCGATAATCCCGAAAACCAATATTGTATTCGGAATCCCCATGCTCGATTACCCCCCTGTGCGAACTCCCAGCCCCGTAGCTCAAACTTTGCAAAAAAATCGATAAAATCGATAAAAGTAATCGATAATCCTGAAAACCAATATTGTATTCGGAATCCCCATGCTCGATTACCCCCCTGTGCCAACTCCCAGCCCCGTAGCTCAAACTTTGCAAAAAAATCGATAAAATCGATAAAAGTAATTGATAATTTTGAAAACCAATATTGTATTCGGAATCCCCATGCTCGATTACCCCCCTGTGCCAACTCCCAGCCCCGTAGGTGAACTCAGCAAAAAAATCGATAAAAATCGGTAAAATCGATATCGATCGATGACGAAAAGTAGCCTATGACACCCGCCGGGGCCCGTAGTGTATGTGTGCCAAGTTTGGTCCGGATCGGTTCAGAAATGGAATTTTCTATTCGGAACATACGTACATACATACATACAGACATACATACAGACAGACATACAAACAGACATTCAGCTTTATATATAAGATGGAACCCTGATTCCAAATCTGCTTTCGATATCTGCAAAGCGCTTCTGGGAGAGGAGTTATGGGAATTTTTTCAAGCAAAATTTGAACGGCGGTTACAATAAAATCATTCAGAGGTGTATACGCTGCTGCATGACGAAGGCGCAATATCTTAAGGCGTGAACGCGGTTTTATTAGCCGCAGAGCGCATGTGGCGCAGGCTTCACAACGGTGAAGATACGCACGCATAGCGTTCGTGCCGTTTCGCTAATATTGCTTCTTCTTGGTCATGCATTAGCCTTTAGTTTGTGAGCTCAAATTCGAAGGCGCTCTATGCAATCGATACTCTCAGCTCAATAAACCCATACTAGTTATCACTCCTTTAAAGCTCCGGAAAGCTTCAGTACCTACTTTTACTTTAGCCGAATCCTTGGATTTTTGCTTCAGAAAATTCCCGGAACTTCCCTCCCAGGAGCGCTTTGCAGATACTGAAAACAAATTTGGAATCAGCGTTCCATGCCTTGTAAGACAGTAAACATTTCATGTGGAAACGCCACTTCGACCAAGTATCCTTCCCTTGTGAGACGTAGAGTTGCTGTGGGACTTTATCATCTCAATTGTAGCCACACGAACAATCTAGCTTGCAGTAGTCGGGTGAGCGGGATGAAGGAAGAAAAGCCGAGCTTGTAAAGTTCACGATATTACGCTTCATTCTGACGTCGACTGAGCCGCTCGAAAAGTGGTAAAAAGGATTCACACTGAAATGGGAATACCAAAAGGCCCCATTTTGAGATACGCACATTTTGGTGGCCCCATTTTGAGATACACACATTTTGGTGAAGTGCTTGGCACTTCATGGCGCAGCCAAATTATTATCTTGCGGGTCACATTGTTTTCTGTGCATCCTCAATTTCAGGCAAGACGGAAGCTTTCGTCAATTATCACCACACTCGTTATGGAATGTCATGGTGGCGATTGTAGTGACTTCAAAATCTCCAGTAGTTTGCAGTTTTAGACTCTGAAATACCTCATGCTGTCATGCGTTTTCGAATAAATATTGGTATATAGTCTTGATTCAAAAATGTTTATGGGTGTATACTACGAATATCTGCATTTCAGTAGCTTTTGTGCATGTTACATGTTGAATTTGGAATGTTGTGGATAGGGGGCTGCTGAGCCATAGATGTATCAGATCTTTTGATCTTACTTGTTCGTTTATGAATTCTCCTCACTTTCTGAGGTATGGCCAAGGCCTTAGGCCCGTGCCTACTTCACGGGATTTCAATCGCCACGCGACTTGGCAAACTCCAATTGCTTATAACTCGTCGCAAACTAAATTTGAGCGCACGGAAAATAGCATATTTTTCCCGCTCGCAAAAGTTAAAATACACCAAGCATTTGTGGTCTGCGAGTGTTCTGGGTCTGAAGAGATCTGGCAGGAAGAGAGGCAAATAGCCAAATCGCATGGCGACTGAAATCGAGAGAGATATGCACAGAGCCTTAAAGGCAGCGTCCAGGCGCAATACTTGCGCTGCCGCTTGGGTAGTGCCTTAGTTACGGCCCCAGAAGTACTTTCCACGTAAAATCCCTAGGTCTGGATCTGCCTGGACGCTGCCTTTAACGACATGTGGTCCTCTACCCGGTAAGCGACTAACTGAACCATAAAGTTTTTCATAGCTTAAATTGTAGAATAAAGTTCATTTCTGAAATTACTAGGTGTATCACGTCAACTATGGCCGCGCAGGTGCACTGGCAATAAGTTGCCGGCAAAAAGCGCAAAATCCCAAACACCATGTTTGTCCAAAGTCGAGACTTTCTTTTTTAAGTGAACGTTAATAGGAATTTATGAATTTATACGTAGGGCCTTTATAGATAGGTTGTGGCAGAGAATTATTTTCGACGTTCGCACCAACCAATACGATGAAAAACTTCAAACACCTTGAACAGAAAACGTCACTTTAGCGGAGTATCGTTCAGCTAATCTATGGAAGTCCTACTGCTCTTCCTATACTCCCAAACACAATGATGCGCAGTCATGACATTCACGACGAAATCGTCACTCTTTCTAGTGTCTAAGGAAAAATGCCTGGGTAATTGATTATTAGTTGCGAAGCAAACATCTCTTGTTTCTCTGATGCATGTTCATATTGCCGATGTGAATTCAATGGCTGTATCTTTGCTACAATCTTATTTTCTACGCATCTGTTTCGCTATGGCGTGAAATGCCTAAGGTGCTTACAAGGGAAGCCTGGTCGAAGTGGCCTTTCCACATGACATGATATGGCCTTCCCACCTATGCCACTTTGTAGAGCATTGAACGTGATTTCAAATCTGTCCTCCTTATCTGCCAAGCGCCCCTGGAGGCCGAATTATGAGCGTTTTCAGGTCAAAAGTTGAATGCGCAGCTGAAACAAAATCGTCCATAATTGCTCAAATGGTCAAGTGTTGACTATCAGATCACTTCCTTCTATAGTTACCTTCTATTTAATACCTCCAAACTCAACAGTGCTCTATTTGAGCGCAAAAAAGATCGTAACCTTTACATTTAATTGGATTCTGCATTCGTTTTTCGCTCCAAGGAGCACTCAAAACTCGGCGTCCAATGACGCTTGGTAGATAATAAGAATAGATCTGGAGTCAGCGTTTGACGCTCTTCAAAGTAATATAGGGCTCTTTTGAAAAGGTCACTTTGACCAAAAAGGCTCCCTTGTTAGTTTGTTATAATTGACGTGGTGTGCATGAAAATAGCTCAAATTTTTTGCATCAAGAATAAGGAGCGATGTCTGTAATCTTGAGATTTACGTTATGGCATTCTTTCTTGATGTATTGATTAACCCTATCCACTTCGTAATGCATCTAAACTGGTTTCCATCTGTTCTCTCGTAAATTGACGGACAGAGTTGAAACATCATTGGCGTCGCGTGGCCAATCGCACGAAAATTTCTGCGCTCCTGTATTTTTTATGATCTGAATGGTTAGGCTGAATTTAGTCAGTGCGAATTACCACATTATTTGATCTCGTTCTTGATGCTAATTGGCTTACAAATTGGTTTCGGGATATCGCAATTCAGTAATTCTTTTCCGGTTCTGGTTACATCCTGTTGTTGGATATTCTGTTTGATATGAGTTTGTTGTTAATTGTGCGAGAGAAAGGCGAATGAAATTTAATCAAAGACTTGAGTCATAGCGAACAACGCATCCTGGTCACTGGCGCGTGTGGTGGTATGAATCATAGTTTGACGAAGTCTTCATAATATCATCTTACCTTTAAATTCTTTTTTTCCTTCTGAGTTCTTTTTCTGAGAGGTTTTTAGTTTTCAGTAACAACGTGGGAAGGGAGAAAGTGAAAATTTGGGGCCGCTTCTGGCAAACGAGTTTTGAGGTTGTTCCACTCTGTGGGCCCGAATTCTAAGCCCCTAATCTCGCTGCGATCAAGAGTAATTCGATCCGCTTAAGCAGGGTATCGTAGTCGTTCCATGTGAAAAACCATATCTAAGAGAGTCACGATAAGTGTGGCCGATTCATTGACCACACGGACTCATGACTGTGGAGCACGCACCGCGCAGTAAAACGCTTGTCCCAGTACAAATTCGCCATTGCCCAAATCCTGCTCTCGCAACATTTCAGCCGCCGCGGTCCGTAGCGTTTGAGCAGTCCGTGCGGTCAGCGAATCGACGAAATACGGCGTTCTGGAACCATGAGTTTTCTCACAACTTTGAGGTTTTTTGCGCACAGTTTACAGTCATATTAATTTCGCTAGCACGCGTTCTGAAGTTGCAATATGTTGAAGAAAGGGAGAAGATTTGCACAACTTTGCCTAGGAGAGTTCTTCAGCATGGTGATTACGATCAAGATATCAGTAAAGGCTGCTGCAGGACGAAGGCGCAGAAGCAGTATCAGTTGAGCGGGCGCGAAGGCGGCGCGCGCGTTCACCATTTTAAACCATGTACCTCATGCGCGCTCTGCGGCTAAGGCAGGGTTCATACTGAGCCGCACAAAGCGGCACAGTTCCAGCACAGCGCTCGAACTGTGCTCGAACTGTGCCCGAACTGTGCTGCATGCGCAGTTGGAGTATTTTGACCGTTTCTGACGGGTTTTCTTCTGGGTTTCTCTCATTTTGGGCCTTATCCCTCCACCCGCTTTTCCTTTTGATGAGTGGAACTCCGAGCGCAAAGCGGGGTTGAGGAATAAGCGCTGTTCTGCTTTGTGTATCCGATTATGCGTGTTGTTCCGCTCGTTCATGTCTTCTTGTTTTATACTTCCATAAAAGTATTCTTTTGTTTCCAGGAGGCCGCTGCAATATTTTTGCAGGCATTTTTCTTGAAGGAGAGCAAAAATAGTGCAGAAGAGCAGGAAATTCCATCAATCTGTTGGCCACTTGTGGGGTCCTAGCCCCTTTTCGTTTTCATTTCATTGTTTTTCGTTCTTTTTTTACCCCGCTTCCCTTTTTTTGTTTAGCGCTTCGAACTTGAAGCGGGTAAAAGAATGAACGGGTTGTGCTTCATGTATCCTCTCAGCCGCGTTCTTTTTCCATTTCGTTGCTTCTTCGCTCTTTCTTCTACCCCGCTTCAAGTTCGAAGCGCTACACAACAAAAAGAGAAGCGGGGTAAAAAAAGAACGAAAAAACAATGAAATGAAAACGAAAAGGGGCTAGGACCCCACAAGTGGCCAACAGATTGATGGAATTTCCTGCTCTTCTGCACTATTTTTGCTCTCCTTCAAGAAAAATGCCTGCGAAAATATTGCAGCGGCCTCCTGGAAACAAAAGAATACTTTTATGGAAGTATAAAACAAAAAGACATGAACGAGCGGAACAACACGCATAATCGGACACACAAAGCAGAACAGCGCTTATTCCTCAACCCCGCTTTGCGCTCGGAGTTCCACTCATCAAAAGGAAAAGCAGGGTGGAGGGATAAGGCCCGAAATGAGAGAAACCCAGAAAACCCGTCAGAAACTGTCAAAATACTCCAACTGCGCATGCAGCACAGTTCGAGCGCTGTGCTGGAACTGTGCCGTTTTGTGCGGCTCAGTATGAACCCTGCCTAATAAAGCCGCGTTCGCGCCCATATTACGCCTTCGTCATGCAGTAGCCTATAATTCGTTACAGCGGTACCGGCGGATATGCACCCTCTAAAGCTTGTCTTAGCTACTCATGATGCGGATCGTACCGAGAGCCAATGGGGATATATTCGCCTTACCTCATCTTTGCTTGCTGCCATCTGCATGGGCGGGCAAGCGTTAGGCGACAAAACGTGCAAAACGCCATTAACGTAAAGCCCGTAAGTCAAAACCATGTGCAGTTTTTTTGATGGCGTCGATTAATGTATCGGCCCCGACCCCCACCCCCTGTTTTTGGCGGTTTGGTGCACCGCACCGCACTACCCTAAGGCTGCTTTGATACTTGCTTTTGTGCAATCCTAGGAACGTCGCAATTACATGGCGTCCTAGGCCGACACTCGTTTTGTTCCTTTATCGCATGCGCATCATGGGAACAAAACGATGTTCTCGTACGGTGCCAGCAGGCGCAGATGTCTGAATGAGGGGAGCGAGTTGGGCTTTACTATATATGACCTCTCCTGACGCCTTTCACAACGGTCAATAGTGATATCTGAAGGAAACCACTCAGCTTATATGGGAAGTGGGAGTATCATGTCCACATAGCATGCAGTCCTAGAGTTCTGCTATACATCATGTTCTTTGTATAGGCCGTCCGCGCAGGGCGCGGAGAGTGCGCAAGGTGTGTATTGCGCGTCACTCCTCTTTCTCGTGCACTCTCGCCGCCTGTTTTTCTCTGCGCTTCTTCCAGTCGTGAACTGCCTTCAATCTACGCAACAGCGTTGCTCTCCGTGCGTAGCGCGGACGGCCTATATCGGTGATAGGTCAACAAGTAAAGTAGATGATGAACTGTAGCAATACATATTCAGGATGACATCCAAAGGCAAGGATCTGTATAAAACGTTCAAGAGGTCAATATCAAGTTCAGTCAACGAAGTAGGTTTACACCTTTTATTGCTGCTATTCTTTTGCATCTGATATAAATCAAGCGGGGACTTTGGACTTTATCGAATAGTGTTGAATGCAATCATCAGGCTGTTTTCAGTACTGTGAATTTTCGAATTTAGTGCAGCATAATCTCAGATAAAGTGGGCTGCGATTTGTGTTTTGCTAGGAGTGGTGTAAGGGAATGGCTTAGGTTGCCGGCAACGGTTGCTGATCGCCGGCGTTGCCGAGGTTGCTGGGGCTTGGCCAGGCTGCTGAGGCTGCGTTCATACTGACCCCGAAGTCCGCGAACAATTCCAGCACAGCACTCATTTCAGGCGCTGTGCTGGAAGTGTTCCTGGATTTCAGGATCAGTGTGAACGCAGCCTGAAGTTGCCGGTGTTGCAGGTCGTTACCTACCTAATGATAACCTCCACGTTTCGCGCGCTCTCTAAGCTGTCTCTGATCTCGGCAACGCCGCCAACCTCGCAACCCCAGCAACCTCGGCAACGCCGCCAACCTCGCAACCCCAGCAAGCTCAGCAACGCCGGCAACCTCGGCAACCGTTGCCGGCACCTATGGTCGTTTCCTTAGAGAGCACGTAAGACATGGAGCGGTCCTACAACGACGGCCAACGCCGGTAACCTGGCATCCGTTGCCGGCGACATGGCCGTTCCCTAACGTTTCTCTGCCTTGTGCATCCGAGTCGGCGTTCTGCGTTCCGTCGTTCTGTCGATGCATCCGGTCTGCATTCACAAATCTGGCTCTCAGAATGCCAACATGTGGCAAAAGCGCGAACCTCGGTGTCGCGGATGCACATCACGCTTGCGTCTTGGACAGGCGTACATACTTTGGGACGTCCAGTACACTAGCTTCAGGTCCTGAGCTCAACTTCGCAGTCTTCATCAAGCAGTTCCGGTCCGAAGTATGGAGGAGGCTCTGGTAAAACATGGATCCATCCTCCAGGTACGTATGAAGTCGGCACATCATGTCTAATAATATAAAAACGTAAGGCAAATCATGTCTAATATATTTGAAACTCGGTAGTGTTAGTTGTATGAGTTGATCATGATCATTTATGTACATTTTTCAAGAGGTGCAGCAGTAGAACTAAGGGTCAGGGTCAATTTGGTTTTTGTTTTTGCTTAAAAGGTTTTCTGGGCCAAACTCACTTATTGATGACTTAGGTGTTTTCACTGTGTTGCATTCTCTTCGGGATATAGTGAAAGATCTTACGGATTTAGTGAAAGACCTTATGCTAATTTGATGTTCTTGCGGTGAGAAATGTGCCGCAAAGAAATATATTTTAGGGGCATATGTCAAGAGGCGCGATTTTTTTGGCAGTTGGACATTGAGCGCATTTTTGATGTTAAAGGCAGTGTCTCGGCAGAATTTCATCTTCCAGTTTCTCAACTTTTCGGAGCTTTTAAGGCCATTAAGAGTCCATGTATGGGCTTTCAGCGCACGAGAATGGCGAAAATGAGCTTTTTCCAAAGCTTTACAGGTCCGCAATCACTGGAAAATATGTGTAAGTAGACAGGGCCCGGAAAGAGGGAGGCCTGGCGCGAAAGACTCCCGGTGTAAAGCCTGCTGCATGACGAAGGCGCAATGGCGATATTAGTTGAGCGGGCCCGAACGCGACGCGGGCGTATCCTTACCGTTGTAGATCCCTCACCTCATGCGCTCTGCGGCTAATGAAGCCGCGTTCGCGTCCGAAGATACTGCGCCTTCGTCATGCAGCAGCCTATATCTTCATCGAATGCGGGCCTGTAAAGCTTCGGAAAAAGCTCGTTTTCGCCATTTTTTGCGTTGAAAAGCCCAGATATGGATTCCTCATGGCGAGAAGGCTCCGAAAAAGTGAAAAGCTGGAAAACGAAATTCTGCCGAGACACTGCCTTCGATAACGTTTCTAAAACTTTTAACTTTCTTAGCAGATGTGCAAGATCATTGCCAGGGCTGTTTATCCTTATATATTGAAATAGATTTGAAATATGGATGTTTGAGGTCAAATCCGCGAATTTGCAGTTTATCGCGATTTTGTTGATATTTCGATCCGTATTTCACCAAAAACCGTCAAACCTAGCAAGTGGTAGCTTGAGAAAGTTAGTAAGCTAGTAAGTTAGTAAGCACTTTCCGGTGTTGTTGGACTTGCATAGCTCTAAAGGGGACGTTGTATTGGTGAACTCTGAGAAATCGTGTCTCTTGACCGTCTCCCTGTTTTCAGGAGCTTCATCATACGTGGAGTGTTGTATAAATACGATTTTGACATACTCACAAATATAGATAACATTGCTTGTCGTCTCTTTGAGCCAGCAACCAAAATGCTATAACTTTTTATTAGATCGGCCAACGTTTCGGCTTTTTCGCCTTCGACAGAGCCTGGGAAGTCGAATGTACAAATGACGCATCCACTCAGACGCCAACATTAAAAATTAAGATATCATTCAACTAGCGACCCTAGGGTCGCTAGCAAGTGGGTCGGGACAGATACAATATTATGTTTAGTTGTAACTGCAAATATCTCTACATAAATTTCCTATTCCTTTTTGAAAGCATCCTTGTGAAAAATTCAAAAAGAGTACTGCTCGAGGATCGATAAACTTTAGAAATCATCCAGTATTTTTCGAAAGCCTTGATATAAACATGTGAAATTATAGGGAAATTTTTCCAATTATTGCGTTTTTTTGCAAAATCTCTCTCTTTCTCTCTCCCTCTTTCTCTCTCTCTCTTCCTCTCTCTCTTCCTCTCTCTCTCTCTTTTTCTCTCTTTCTTTCTCTCTCTCTCTTTCTCTCTCTCTTCCTCTCTCTCTTCCTCTCTCTCTTCCTCTCTCTCTCTCTCTCTCTCTCTCTCTCCCTCTCTCCCTCTATCGACTACCTTTTCGAACAAATTTGCTTTATTCAGTTTTTCTCAAAAATTTCATGGAAGATCGCTAGGATTAATAGAATACACATCATTTTGGAAGTAGGAAGGCATCCATCACAGTGATGTATCCTACAAACAGCATAGCTTTTTTCTCAAAATCATTTTGACAGCAACAAAATCAGTTGAAAAACTCAAAAAGTCCACCAAGTGTCGTCAAACCGAAAAATATGTTATCTTACTACCTAAAGAAACCCCACCCCAAAAACGATGACTGAATTCCCTTGCGCTACAATACCGCTCACATTTTTGAAAAAAAAAGACGCGAAGACGCATCATGTATGAACATCACCGTCGCGTAGCCATAGCTCGCTTCAGAGTGGACGAATTCTGCATGTAAAGCCATCATTCGACTCAGCTCGGCGTGGCGCATCTTCTGATGTATAGAAGTGTCCACTTGGACACAGTAGGAGGTCAGATTCCATGAATTTTTTCAGATGTAGGTTGCCAGTGGGTGCAATGAATAAGCACACTGAATAACCTACCTTCAGCAAAAATCTGAAACGATTCATGGAATCTGACCTCCTACTGTGTCCAAGTAGACACTTCAGTACATCAGAAGATGCGCCGCGCCGAGCTGAGTCGAATGGTGGCTTTAGATGCAGAATTCGTCCACTCTGAAGCGAGATATGGCCACGCGACGGTGATGTTCATACATGATGCATCTTCGCGTCTTTTTCTTTTCAAAAAATGTGAGCGGTATTGTATTCTGTCACAATATTTGGGGAGGTTTAGGCAAATGTACAGTCTGCTCCAATTGGGATCTGGCCATTCGTCGCCGTGAGTTTGCGCGCTCGCAGCGCTAGCGGTCTGCGCTGCACAGGCGCACTGTCAGAGAGAGCAAACGGATTGAGGAGAGAGCAGAGAAGCAGGCCGTGGGCGTGACCGCGAATTTCCAGCGACGCGGACTCCCGCCATGCCAATTTTGGCCTGGTTAGGATTGGGGCAGACTGTAATCACTGGTTTTTTTCAAGCGATTTTTTTTCGGCAACGAACGCATGCTCTAGGGCCCTTAAAGGCACCTCCACCCAAAATTTCGACCTCTATGTTTTTGCCGTTCCAGGGCCTTCTAATACCCCTGATGCCGAATATTAAGTTGAAAATCGGCGAAAACCACGAAAAACCCCCGTTTACAGAACCCGCAGAGCGCTTTCTTCGGTATGGTGATTGAGTGGGCGCGCACGGATGGGCGGGACGAACGTCACGCCCACTCCGAAAGGGGAGGAGCGAGCGTCGCGAACGCGGCCTGAAGCGATTTCCGAAGCAATTTTCTCTGTTCGGAAGCAACTTCAGGCAGCGCGAGTTGGGCAATCATACAGTTGGGGGCCCCGCATCTGCTAGGTATCATAATCTCATCAACCCCAATTTGGGTGGACGGTGCCTTTAAAGGCAGCGTTCAGGCAGATCCGAGCTCGACGACAACGCCCACTTCCCTCGGACGGCCAACCCCTTATGAACGTAATCTCCTCAGCCTTGACGTTTTTTCACATGACCAACACAGTCGAACTTACAGCGTTTACCTGTTAATACTTGCTTTCGACAAGGATAACATCAAAAGCACTCGTCCGGGTTTTCCCAAAATAGCCCCAAAAGGTGGTTTTCTGAGAAATTCCGCTTTTTGAGTTCCACATTCGGAATCAGCGCCAAGGAAAGGCCTGGATAACATAAAAATATAGAAGTCGAGAATCTGCCTGGTTCTCAAAGCCATGGGTACTGAGATTTCAGAGTGTTGCAATTGTAGACTCTCCGAATAACCTATCAGTGAAGTTTGGAGAGAAAAAGCGCATCTGGAATGCCTGAAATCCACTCCAGAAGTCTTCCGGACCCCCACTTGATCCGGACCTCGTCCACTTACACCTAATTTTAGTGAACGCGATTTGGAGAACTTCGAAAAGAGCTCATTCTAGTCCTTTTCGTGTGAGAATCATAGATGTGGTTTGAGCATGACGAAAAGACTCCGAAAAGGTGAAAAACTGAGAAGCAAAATTTTGCCGGGACACTGCCTTTAAAGACTATATATAAGAGAAAACTGTCTTTCTTCTCCCATAGAGTTTATAGAAAAAACCTACCTTGCTACTCCAACAGAGAAAACAACAACGTCAAATATTTATTAACGTACCCTCAGATTGCCCTAAAGGCCACCTAGGGACCGTCAATTATAAGAATAAGAATTAAGAATTATAAGAAGTTTGGTGCTCCAATAGCAATTCGTAAACCGCTTGCATCGCCGCATCATTTGAAACATTCTATAAAACGATGTTACATCGAATGATTCTACCACACAACCAGAGGTTGTGTGTGTCGCGAAGCTTTTTGAGGAGCATATTTGTTAGGGTAGTCGATATTTCACCGCCCAATCGAAACGGCGAATGGTCCGGAATCGATCATACGATCGCACAGCGTGACGCCTAACTGTGTAATTTGTTTATACGGTAAGGAGGGGGACTGCATGATTTCGGGAGTGGTGTACCTCATTACATGTTTATCATGTGATGAGATATATATATAGGAGAAACGGGCGGCCCCCTCTGCTCACGCATTAAGGAACAACTGCACGGGTTGCATAAGTTAAAACCAGCAACACCCTTAGGTAGTCATCGCAATGTGCAGCATGAAAGCGCTGAGGTACAAATTGGAGTCAAGATAACTGACCTATGAGCCCGAACTGCTGGCGCGCAAAACTTTGGAGGCATTCTGGATAACGCCAAGAGTGCAAAAATGAACCGGAAGGAAGAGTGTCTTGCGGTAACTAATGAACTCGCGCCATATCAATCCTTCTGTAGATTTTGATTTGAGGTCAGGTCACATGGCTGCTATAGAGGTAGAGGTACATATCCCATATTCGGTGGTCAATGCGCTTCCTGTTGTGTCATCTAAGGTGGTTCTGGCAGTCCGTTGATCTACCGTAGCTTTCGTACTGGTCACGGATTGAATGATATCTTGAGCTTTGATGTTGGCGTCTGAGTGGATATGTCACTTATACATTCAACTTTCCTGGCTCTGACGAAGGCGAAAAAGTCGAAACTTTGGCCGGTTGAATAAAAATAACATCTTGGTTGCTTGCAGAGACGACACAGCAATATATAACAATGCCAAGATTATTAAACAGCCGAAGTTGGTCCGTAACATTATTTGGAAAGAAACAATGCTTTTGATATGAAATTACTGTTGGAAGTAATTGCTGTGTCAATATTCCATGGGGAACAATAAAGGAATCAATTGTTTGAGTGTGCTCACTCCAAGCAAAGTGAACAAATAGAGGCTAACATGGCGACAAGATCAATAAAGTTTATGTTAGGAGAAATTCTCAGAGCAATGAAGCGAAATGGGGGGGTATGTAAGGTAATATGAGCAAGATATGTTATTTCACCTGGTTTAATCCACAGTCAATGTTAACCACGTGCTCACTTTTCCGTAGTGTCTGCGCTTCCGCAGCGCGTGGACATTAGCAACGATCTGCGATTGGTGCGGCAGATTTGAACGCTCAAGCGAAATATTCAAGTCCCGCCCGCAAACACGGCAAGGGTTCCAGTTTGCGCTTGAGTTGATCGGTAGGGGAGTACATCGCTGACACCGGCTATAAGTTATTGTCGCTCCCCAATTGTAGCGAAGCGGATCCGTGATGATCACAAAGATCAATGAGGTATGCCTCAGCACAGGGCAACGGTAACGCAAGAGCCGCTAGCGCAGCTCCGCCTTTCCAAAGTTGATGAGCCGCTCATACTTACAGCAGATCACTTTGCGAGAGTGTAGGTGATAATAACTAAGTCTTCTTCTGTAGGTTGCAAGAAAAAGTAGAAAGATAATTCCTTTGTCGAGATATTAATTTCAACTAGGTTCAGATTCACCACACTCAAGATCAATTTTCTCGGAAATAATTCATATATAATCAGATGAAATTTGAAGGGAATGGCGTAGGTGGATTCTCCTCTTCAAGAGCTATTGAGTGACATATGATAGGTGGGAGTCCAATGCTTTTTCCTCTTGTGAAAGTACATGCTCAGTTCAGCGTGCTCATCCCTCCCCTCCCCCCTTCCCCTCCCCGCCGCCCACTTCGTGCCGTTCAAAGCCATTGAGATAGGCGGGGCTGAGCACGCTTGAAGGCGTCCGGGCATAGAGTCGATTATGAGATTTTGTGCTTAGCGCCTATCTGCTATGCTGAATGAAAATCCACACCGGATGGCGCAAAAACGGCGAAAAAGGGCTCTAACGGAGGAGGGAAATCGCAGGTGGGCGGGGACGTCCACACTGTAACGTCACTCTCCCAACTTCAGGAGCGATCTTCTCGCTTCCCCTAGCAGCCCTAGCCTCGCCACCAGCCAACTGCGAAACGCTTGACATAGAAATGGCACCGAGATCGCTTCTGAATCTGGGGAGTGACGCCACGATGTGAACAGCTCCGCCCATCTACGTCCCGCCTGCGTTAAAGCCCTTTTTCGCCATCTGTGTAAAATTTCGGATTCAGTATAGCGAATAGGCCCAGGCAAGCAAAGAATCCCAAAATCGACTTCTTGCACGGACATTGCCTATAACTGAGCATGCTCACCCCCCTCTTCCAGCAGCCGGAAGCATCAAGCCACCACATGTTGTACAGTCGTTTTCAAAACGTATTGTTCTTTTCTACCGTATGCCTTCCAGCCTCAGCATGACGTGGATTGGTGAGGAGCCGCATCGCTTCAGACTTGCGCCACGTTGCTTTTCTCGCCATGCCACGCCAAACGAGCGTCCGTTACGTGGTGCAGGCCCGAAGCAAGGCGGAGCCGCACCAATCCATGTCATGTTGAGGCTGGAAGGCATACGGTAGAAAAGACCAATACGTATTGGAAACGACTATTTATCATTCGATAGCTCTTAAAGGCAATGTTTCGTCAGAATGTTGTTGAGATTTTTGCATATTGCAAGAGTTTTCTTCCCTGCCTAACTCAGTGCGGATCCAAAATCGCGTAAAATGCACGAAAACCGCGATTTTTGAAAGAACGGAAGCCCGAGTTGTGCCTTCTTAGCTTAGCCTTCGCCACAGTGGCAGCAACACCATGGAGGTGGACGCCAAGTGGGGACATGTTAAAACGCGTAAGGGGAAACCGGGAGCGTCGGCCGTGCCCAAATCACGCTTTGCGGGCCACTTTGAAGAATGTCTGCGTAGAAGGGCCGGATCGAGTCGGACTTGGGTGGTCGCTTGTTCAGGGGGTTCTTCAAGCAAAGTTTGTGGAGATCTGCACTACCCCAATTTTGGTGAGACGTTACCTTTAAAGAGGAGAATTCACATACACCTTTCCCTTCGCTTACAAAGGTTATTTTATAATCGATCGATTTTGAGTGGGTCTCTTTGCAGTCACATATCTTGTCGATGGGGAAATTTTATGATTTTCTTTTTTTGCATATTATAAAGGCCTGCTTAGTCTTACTCATACATTCGCAAAGAGATCGGCTGTAGTGATGGAGGATTATAGCAAGGAGTTGAGACGCTTGAACATTTGTAAAGTTGGAGTTTAAGTGGGTCGAACACATCGGATCTTTTTGCGGGGTTATAGGCAGTATTGAGTAAGCCTTCCTCTGTAAGATATGGAGAAAAGTAAATCAATGCTCTTATCGCAGAGATATGGGGAGTTGGGTTTAGGGGGAGAAGGGGATATGGGAGCGAACTCCGCCATTTTAGACTCTCTCGTTGTAACTGGTCTTTTTCAATGTTGTTGCATGGTTGCAGGACCAGTAGTCCGCGGAGGCGACCCAAATTGGTGGAGTTTGTCCTTTACCTTGGGGAGAGGGGGGAGGAGCATGGCGAAACGTACTGATAAGTGCTCAAGTCCCATCGTGATAATTCTGCTTACTGGCGTCATTTTAATAAACAAGTGATTCTCACCTTATTGCTACAAAGAAAGTCAAGGATAGTTTCTGTGACACATTCTCTGCCTGAATTGGACACAGTTTAACAACATGTTCTTTATTGTCCTACATTTAACATCGCAAGTTCCCAGCGGTAATCTCATTGTTGATAAAATTGTCCCTCTCCAGATGTAATCTAAATCCCTGAGTCCGAAAACCCCATCAGTGCCGTCATGCTGGTGAGTATCCCGCCTCATCCTATCGCACCCATGCTAGTGATTTTTGCACTCCTCTCCCTTCATTCTAAGATCTTAGTTCGTATTTCTTATTCAAGATGTTCTGCTGAATGGACGAGTCGAATATAGTGTGAAGTTTTTTGGTTCGCAAGAAGTTAAGGAACCGAAGGGGACTGAGGTCATTCGGGACGCTATACACGCAATTCAGTTTCAGAATGGGGTAGGGAGGCATGTTTTATACAGGAAATTGTGACGTTTCTATTCAGTTCAGGTGAAACGATTTGAATCCACTCAATCCGGAAATAAGCTGCAAAAAGTAGACATACAAGTGAATGTTGAAGGCGTGACCATAGTGGATTCAAAAACAAAAATGGCTCTGCATAGATATCCGCTTCAAAAAATTTCTTTCTGTGCGGATGACAAGCAGGTACCATTAATGATTTTCTATGGGATTCATCAATATGCCTTATTTTCAGGATAAGAGGATATTCTCATTTATTGCCAAGAGTGAGTCCGACTCCACGAAACACGAATGCCTAGTCTTTCTTAGCGATAAAATGGCAGAGCAAATCACTTTGACGGTGGGAGAGGCGTTCGATCTAGCCTATAAGGTAGGGTGAGTTGAAGATTGCAACAGTAGTCAGAGTGATTCTTTTGTATCAGAAGTATTTTACTTTGATGTTCATGGTCAGTCCATTATTTTTGTCAGAATCGGCTATATGGCCTATACATATAGAACTGCTTCTTGGCTTCTCCTCTCGAAGTCTCCGATTAGTGTTGAATCATTTTCTTAAAGGCAACGTCCAGGTAAGTCTGGACAAATGGGGATCTCCCGTGGATAGTAATTTTGGGGCCCTAACTAACCCACTGCCCAGCCGGCAGCTCAGGCAGTGCTCTAACGGCTGAGTTTCCCCCTTGAAACTGGACCCCGCAATCGTGTCTCGCATGGATGCATGGCGCAAAGCGTGGGTCCGGCGCGAAACTGCCATGAATCCATGCGGATACGATCGCGGGGTCCTCGAGGGGAATAGAGTCGTTAGAGCACTACCTGCGCTGCCGCTTCGGCAGTGCCTTAGTTGGGGTCTCAAAAGTACTTCCACGTAAAATCCCCACAGGTCAAGATCTGCTTGGGCGCTGCCTTTAACGTCTCTCGGCCTACCGCGTGATCATCTGCTTGCAATCATAAATGATCTAGTCTATATATTGCTATTTTGATCAGTTATTTAGTGCAGCAATTACAAGTAATATACGTCATTCATCTCATGGTTTCAGCGTTATATGGACAAGAATAAAACTTCTCTGGAAAATCAGAAACAGGTCAGTGGTTATTTTGCTTACTGACAATATTTTGCCATATATACTAGTTCATTTATTTGAAAACCAGTATGCACGTATACACCCCACTGGGGAGGGAAGCTGGGAAGGGTCGCGTCATATCTCGCACGTCGTAAATATTATGGTACTTCTAGGCATATTTTCGACAGGACAATTGGAATGCGAAGGTTGTGAGTTTTTTAATAAACAGTTTGCGGACAGTAGTCCAGCGAATATTACGAGTTGCCGTGATTTCACTTATTTCGGCTCCCCAGTATAACCTTACGACGTTTTCATCAAATGTAATGGAAGATGCCCACTTTGAAAACAAGAGGTGATTTTTGGGCATCCGTAATTACACAAAACTGTGAACCTCTAGGCTCAAATGGCAATTTCCTTTCATCCCTTATGCTTATCAGGTGAGGACCTTCATAAGATAGGTATACAAAGAAGGATACAGATATCTAGAGCAACGAGATGCGACGATACCCTCCTTAGCTCCGCTCCCCAGATGGAATGCACTTGCATAGGGGTAAATATGTTGATAAAAGACTATCTATCAAGGTCCTGTATTCGGAACTCAGTTGGCTAAAACTTAGTGCACGAAATTATTTGAGATATGTCACGAAATGATGTACTGGTATACACTAATTTATCAGAGTCATATCTGGCAATATTGCGTCACACCCATTGCTCAAAACTTCTTGGTATCTTGTTTATATGTCTCAGTACTGATATACTGATACGTAGGTATTTGTCCTTCGCAAAAGAATAGCAGAGTTGGAAGCTGAAAACCAAGTTCTTAGCCAACGTTTGGCAGAGGCTATTCGAGCAAATAAAACACCTCAGGCAGGTTTCTTTTGAGACTTTTTGTGCATTGACGGTCATCTCGTTATGCCTAGATGTCACTGTTGGACGCACCTTCATTGCCTTCCACGCCAATGCCCTCAGGTCCACCTCCAGGCTTGGCCAATAATGTTGGTTCTGTTTTTGATTTGTTCAGCAGTCGGTCCAAGTGAAGATTGCAGTCACTTTACTCTACTCCACACTCAGCTCCCGTATTGCCTGGCGACCCATTCCTCAGTGGACTCGTAACTAGCACATCTCATATTCCTACTATAGTCAATACTGGCTCTGCTATCAATGGTGATCGGCCTTCATATTCATGCTGGTATAATGTTCGTCACTTTTCTAGGGCATACCAGCGTGACTCCTCATTGTTCCCCTTCTGGACCTGCTCCTTCGCAAATTCCACCGCCTTGTCCTGTCCCGACGCTTGCTCCTCCTCCTCCAGTGGCTCCAAGGAGACAGGGGCCGGTCCGTGCTCATACTGTTCCGGCGCCAGAGGTTTGGTCACGCTCGCTCCCCGTAGAATGTAATTAAAATGTAGTTCAATGAGATAATCAGATTGATTTAAGGTTGGTCGCCGTTTGCAGAATCTCGACTTGGAACATATGGAAGATGTTTTTGACGATTCCTTTGATCCACGAGCCAACAGCAAGACAAAAGAACAGAAGGATTATGGTCAGTTGTTCAGCATAGGGATGATATATACACTACGGTTTAGATCCATTCGGTGATGATTTTTTGGATGATGTACTACGGACTGGTGATGCCGCAAGCCGCGCTACCATTACTCGCGCCGATGCTTTGCAGCCAACAGCAGATGATTTTCAAAAGATGATAGACAAAGTCGATAAGAGGTGACTTTTTCATATTTTAAAATACTATATATGATGTAATATTCAATTCGAATTATAGAAGAAAAGACAGTTAATAATATAGTCATATAACGAGCGTAGTAAGAATGACCGACGTCACAACCCAAACAAGTTGACGGTATAGGAACGAACACCAGCCTGAGCCGCCTTTCACGGCTAACTGGTCCTCACTGTTGTTGCATGTCGTTCAAGGACCAGCAGTCCGCGGAGCCAGCCCGGCGGCGTCTCGTTCCCCTACCCAGAAGTGCAAAGATCGGGCTAAACGGAGCTAAATGTCTCATGCCACCTGCGCGTGCACTAAAGCAACTTAAGCCAAGAGCATGATACGACCTGGAAAGCGAAAAGATGTGTTCGCATGGCTCCCGCGCCTGCGAAGCGAAAATGAGCTTCAACGAAAATGATTCAAAAGTATGCAAGACAGAATACAGGCGAGAAAGTTTGTCGGTAAATAGGGTATGCGGTGTCAGGAGTAAGCGGTGAAATTCTCGCGTGAACAGATAATCATGTCTGAAGGGATTATTCGGCAGTTTACAAATCTTGAATCAGGACTGTCGTGATCAATATATCAAATAACTTTGAATCCGTGGTTTTGATCCTCTACAGTATACCCACCGAGAACACAATGACGATTTTATGCGAAGAAATGTGGTTGTGATCAATACGTAAGCTGATTCAAATTGTTCAATTTGCGAAATCCACGGTCACGCACCCTTTCCTCATTTTCGGTTTTGATGGCAGTAAAAAGTGGTTCGCAGTACCTAAGTGAGGGAGGGACAATTGACACTAATTATCGTAGATTTGTCAAGAGCTTTTCTTTGCTGTTTTAAGACTTTAATCACTAAATTATTAAGCTATTTCTCTTGTGGTGACGCAGCCATGTATGGTCTTTTTTAGGCTGGCGGAAATGTCTTCTGGTTTTTCTGGAGGAAGACTGGAGACCGGCCAAGTGTCACCAGGTGGATCGCTTGGCGATTTTGAAGGTGAGAACGAATACGGTACCCCCACCGACAAGGTGAACAGCGTGGTGATGACGGGTAAAAATTCTTGACCTTCCGCTCTCTTTATACGTTTGGAGCTTACTGATTGTAATGCAGTATCAGTGTACATCCCTTACCTTCGCCTTATGTCCATAGAGATCCATAGACTTCCGTATGCGACTTATTCTAGTTGAATGTGGCCAAATTTACTTAACTATGCATTTTAACTTTGGAAATACTTCACATTTTTTGCTGTGATGTCATTCTGCTATGTCCACTTTGTCTCGGATATATTTTCTATTATACCTTGCAATGTGCATGTTCATCCTACTTGTGATTGTATACTCGGCCCTGTGATCAACACAGCCTATAAAGATAGAAAATCAAAAGTAGCGGTTCCACGATGTGCATGTCAAAGTATTGTGGGGAGCGCAGGTGTAAGTTTATGTTTGACAATTACAAGTTTTGTCAAGTCCAGGAGGTGCACTCTCCTGACCTGAATCCTTCACCCTGATTGTCTTACTTTATATGAACATAACATTTATGACTAGAATCTTTATTATATATTTATAAATAGAAAGAAAGGGGAAGGGAAACCGCCGGTCACCCGGTTAGGCACAGCTCATCTGGAGTTGCTGGGCACCGCCCAGTTGGGGTGAGGACTGTCGGACCATCTCTTAGTCCGCGTCTCGACATGTCCATTCCATAGTAAAGCTCGTCTCGAGCTTTCATAGCTTGGCAGAGGAATACCATTATCGTCATCGAAGTGCCCATTACCATTTGCTTCATCACTGATTCGTTTGAGTGCAAGAGGGTGTTGTTACCATTATCGTCATCAAAATGCTGCCCATGTACCATTTGTTTTACCACTGTTTCGTTTGAGAGCAGAAAAGTGCTGCTGCTATATCGTCATCAGGGTTGCCCATTTGCCATTTGTTGTCACTGACTGCGGGCAGGAAAAATGCTGTTGATCGCATCATTGCTCAGTCGCTTATTGCTCTTCGAATGCATGTGGACAGGGGGAAAAGGGTTCATAGGAAAAAGCGGCTTTCGCACGCCCTGTCAAAAGAAGAGCTCGTCTCGAGCTGGAGAATAAAGAGCAAAATAAATTTGCAAATTGGATAATTATCAAAGCGTATGGCTTCCGCAACTGTTCCGAAGATGGAATTATGGCGATAATAATGATTCAATACAGCGTAGATGGGTGGGCTCTACCCGAGTTGAACGAGTACTGCAGTGATGGTAAGGATAACGATATGGTAGAAGCGTTATAGCTTAAAAGATGAATTGGGATATGTTTAAAAGTTTTGATATGTGGTGACGGGTTTGGGAATATTGAAGAAGTAAATATGCATGAAAAAATGCAAACAACATTTTTGAATAAAAATCAAAATCGCTAATGTGACAGAGTCTTCAAAATTTTGATGTTTCGAAGATTCGTCGTTACAGCACGCAGAAAAAATCGAAGGCAACCAAAACATGAAATTTTTTTCGGAAACTAACATGTGGGCAACTCAAGAGGAAACACTTCCCTAACGTTGCTCACAAGGGCGTGGAATTTTGGATGACTGAAAGGCTTCTCCGAGCCGCCCATCGAAGAGGTCTTTCTTGTTATAGCGCGAAGCTTGCGGCAAACTTACCCTTTACCAGTAGCCGCTGCGCTAATGAGATTAATGAGAATTATTAGGTTTGCTACTGGTAAATGATAGTTTCTGTCTTCCTCAGATGCTCTGAACATCTGAATGTAGACTGAAACTCGGATTAGAATGAAAAAACTGTATGTAATGCAATGGTGAACACACTCAACATGGGCACAATGGAGAGATATTGGCGAATAAGACAAAAATTTCCATGGAACAACTTTTCGAAAGTTATGAAGTCGGAAGCAATAGAAATTGATGTCTTTGTACAATCTCTTCTTCGAGTAGTTGCATTTTGTTTCTTCGCCTCGCTCCTGCGTGTCTAAAAATGTGGCGAACGTATTAGTCGCGCGAAGTGAGACTCATACAGGCCTTTGTCTCGCACGATAGTCTTGCAATTAGAAAAGTACTGGAGTTGACTCAAAGATAAGTATTCAAAAGGGAATTTTTTTTGAACTGCGGCTGAATGCACTTGAATTCAAATACCTCTCTAATGATAGGCTAGAGAATTTTTTTTCTTGTGTGGATGATGAGCGGTGGTTGAAATCCACTTGTGCTAAATCTGACGCAAATGCAAAGTGATCGAATATGTAATAATTCCGCTATTTTTTTTTTTGGAAAGTTAAGAATAGTCTTGGATTGGTGGCTAAATGTATGAAACCAGTAGTTTCAATCAAAGTAATAGCCGGTACTGAAAAAAAATGGTTGATATTGCCAGTATTCTTCACTTTTTTTGATGAGAGTAAAACATAGGTTTCGCCTCCGAAGGTTTTAAAGAATTGAGCGGATGAAGTGACAAATCAAACGAAAAACAACAGCTTTTCTTTTTTTTGTGTGCACGATCTTTTGCATGGTCAGCTCGATGCTTTGCAACGTTTCGAAAAGATTGTTGTATATACATGTATGTACGGAAGATTGTTGCGATGTCAAAGTCATGCAGCTTATTCTAAAATGATCACGACTTCAAATGGTGATAGAGTCAAATGGAGTTTCGAAATGCCAGAGCGATTACCCCTGGAAAAGTTTACCTCGAAACAGTCGTTAGGCGAGGATTTCGCACCTCAAAACAAATCCTGAGACTTTAAACGCAAGACAACTGGTTGCACAAATTAGCTCGTATATAATTTTTTTTTGTGTTGACATCCTAAAGATCTAAAACTAAAGTATTGCAAGGTACCCAAATTGTTACAAACAATGAACTTATGTGTTAATATAGAGCTTTAAGCCACACTGAAAAGCTTTTTAAATGGTTTGGCACTACTTGTTTCGGCGTGTATAGAATGATTTCAAGCAATACTTCTACCGTAGCCTCTTTCAAAGTTTTTTTTTTGAAGGCAGGCCCAAGCTATCGAGCTAGGCCACTTTTACTTTATGAGATGAGAGGGGGTACGAAACGAGTGTTTTGAGAGATTTTGATGCCAAGAGGATTGCTATATAGATGATAAATGAGTTTACGAAAGTAGTAAGTATTTTTCTTTACCAATGGACCACACTGGGACGAGTGAAGGCGATATTGTCGCAGTCCAAAGGCCGAAGTATCTAACAATAAGTACTTGCAGTTGAATAACTACATGCGATTTTGTTCATACGAGTAAAACACTGCTTTGGGACCCAGCGTCAGTGGAGGTGTGCAGATTTGTTTGGGTGTAATTAGGTGGTCGACGTGGTCAGCAACTAGTAGATAGTAATTTATGAACCTGACTTTTGAGAATATCATGTTTATGGCAACAATCAGTGGCGGCAATGTAATAATTATGCAATAACATTATGTAATAGTGTCCTATCTTTTATATATACTCTAACTTTGTAATCATTGCCGTAATGTAATCAGCGTTTTATTGTACCACGCAATACATTGGTATTTTTACTTACAAGAAATCATAGTAGAAGTTGGCCGTTGAATACGTCCGTAATCAAGGCCTTTGTCATAAGTTGACCCCTTTTTTTAAAATTTTACTTAACAATCGTGCAGTCATGATGAACTCGCTAGGATAAGGCTTCGGATGCGCTGGCATAAGTTTCAGCGAAATGGTGAAAGAGAATCAAGAAGTATAACTTTATAAATTGAATTTTTATTGATCTGTTTCACTGGATTTTCCAAAATTCAGACAGACTAAGAATTCAAAAAAAAAAGAGGGAAATTTCCCATTTGCGCCTAAGCTTTATCAGCTACACTGCGCGTTGAATCTGCATTTGTCTGATCTGCCAGGTTTGTGGTCAGTAGAGAATGCATTTCAATTTTTCAGCAGAAAGACGCAATATAAATCGCTTTTTGTTCAGCGCACCATGCCAACAAAGATATGGGTCAAATTTTTTTTATAATGAAAAATGGATCTGTATTTTTTTCGATAAAACTAACTGCCTGAAATGATTGTTTGATCAAATTCCTACAAAACTAGCATTTCCTACAAAGCTAGCAAAAAAAATTTTTTTTTGTGAGTGAACGCAGTAATTTTGTGAAGAAACGAATCGTTGTGCAATGTGATGATGCAAAGGTTGCACAAGATGCAGGTTTTAGTGAATTGCCATCCTCGTTTCCTGAGAAAGAGGACAGAAAAAGTGAGAAGTCGAAATGGACGAAAAATGGCGCAGCCGAGTTTCTTTTTGACAGATAAATAAGGCGGTATTCAGAAGAAGTAAAGAAATGATGAGAATGCAAAAACAGACGCTTTGATGAGTGTTGGCAAGTTGTTTTTGAAGTCTTCAAGGAAAACGTTGCTTTTTTTGATTTTCCAGAGCTCTTTTTTTAAAGGAAGTGAGTAATCAATCAACCACATTAAAATAAGAATTTCATATAGTCTCAATTTCGAGAACTCATTGAAACTCATGGTATTCTCTGAAAATACCATTTTTTTTTGAAAATAAAGACTCGTTTTTGGTAGGTTTGCCTCAATTCTCTTGGCAGACAACCAAACGAATTTACGAATTAGCGAATTTAGCTAGTCATCGTAATTATCCATGAGATTCTTTTTAAAACCAATCTTATACCATGCTGATATGTCAATTTGAGGTAGTGGCTGGCTTCCACTGTTCCTCAAAGACTCAAACATGGTTGATCTACGTTGGTCTTTTTTTTTTAAATTTTTTTTTAAATCAGCGTGAAAAGTGTAAAACAGAAAAAATAGACAGGGGCTAGAAAAGCATACCTTTAATGGTTGAACACGCGAGTAGAGTTGTAGGAAAGTTTTCCATGACATCTTTCTGTCCTTCCATAGAGAATATCATTTCGAGGAGTCCTTGAGACGTACCTCTTTCCAGTCGTACTCGGCTTCCATAAGAACGCTCTTCCACCCAGAGTCCATTGGCTAATCAGCATCAAACAATTGCCGCATACCTCTGGCCCAGACATTTGTCGATGGGATACGAGGTTCAAAGGGCACTGCCGCTGCATGTGCCTACTTCTGGCGGCTAAATGTCACTCGTTTTTGAGTGATTAGCCACTAAAAATAAGGGACTGGGAGCGTAGCCTTTGGAAGTAACCGTGAGCTATCAGATAGCCCGTCGATTTTCCTCAGGCAATCATAATAATCAATTATGAAACTCTCCCTAAGCAAAATTGGACTCACAGTAGTTTTTCTACTAGTGAGAACTTAATTTTGAATTTGGTAAGGCACACAGTGGTCTTTCCACTAGTGAGAAATTGAAAAAAAACTTAATTTTGAATTTGGTAAGGCACACAGTGGTCTTTCCACTAGTGAGAAATTGAAAAAAAATGGGCTCACAGTGGTCTTTCCACTAG